GACCCTGGGGTAGACAAGCTTCAAGGCGACCAGCCCAGTTTGCCACCGTGCCGGGTTTTTTCCAGGTTCGGCGAGAACCACCGTGTCCCGGCCGCTCCGAGCGCGGCTCCTTCGATTCTTCCGACTCCCCGACCCTTCGACCCAGAGACCTGAAATCGATCCATTTCGGGGGTAGCCGCGCCTGGCCGTCCCCCATCATGGCGCGCAGAGTTAGCGCAGCGCAGACGCCCCCAGCCAGCTGCACCAGCCAAAACCCCAGCATCCGGCACAGAGGCAGCACCCCCTCGCAAGCAAACCAACGCGAAATGATCTCATGTTCATGCTCACTTGAACATAAACCAACCCGAAAACCTCATGGCACCCGCGTTTTGTTGTTGTTCTTATGTTTTTAAAGAGCAAAAACAAAGTATGCTTAAGATATCCTGATGGATATTGGAAAATTGGGCATGGCCCAACTGCTCCAAAATTGAGGAACAATTAATTCACACATCTAATATGCCGCCGCTCGTTGCCCTCCCACATGGAAGCTGACTGCGGACTGAGGGGATTCTAGCAAAAGGCCCTGTCAAAAGGAGAGTATGGCCAATTCATGGATCATTTTGGTGCACGCTGCTGAAATTGGTTGGGTCACATTGCGGATGGCCATGGCTGTTCTTTCGCCTTCCCTTCGGCTTTGTTTCGGAACTGCTACGCCTTCTAACATGCAGGTCGGTCACCCCCTGAATGAGCCTTTTCAGAGCAGGGGAGAGTCATGAACAGGGCACAAGCCGCTCAGAGGATTCATGGATGGACAGGAGTCACTCTCCGCCCACCTTTCGCCCACTCCACCTGTGAAATGCCATCGACAAGCACTCCCTACAGGAGCGGCAGGCGCACAGGCAAAACGGAAGTCGCTCAAAGGAGGCTTTTAGTATAAGGCTTATAGTGAGAATAACCTAAATGTGATGGGTCGGCAGGTTGGCATGCGTTCCGTGGCCGAATCACATGTTCCTACTTTCCCTCACTTCGGCCTTTCAAATGGGGAACGTACCAGGTTCTCCAATCAACCACCTCTTTGAAACCACCATTGCCTTCATCATCTTGCGGCTTGTTTTTTTACATTGGGGTGCATGTCCACTGGCAGTCCAGCCGTCAATGTTGCGAACCGATCCTACCCCCAAGACAATTCCCGGAGACTCCCTCCGCCTGCAGAGTCAAGGCCAGAGATACGGCGGGGTTCAGGTGCCCCCCCGAGACCGTGGCAGTGCTGTAGATCATAACCGTCACCTCAGCGACCCGAAGACCCGAGAGAAAGAAGTCGTGTCCTTGACCGTGTTTTTTTGTTCTCCCCCCCACGCGGCTCGGGTGCGAATGGTTTCCCCGGAAAAGAAACAGTTGGAGCAGTGTCTGATACTTTGGTGCCCTTTGATGACTTGGGCAACCCTTTTCTTTGAAGAAAAGCAAACCAACGCAGCTGTCCAGAGTTGTGGAAGATCACAAGTGGTCATAACACCATGCCTCTGACTTCGGAATGTCAAAAAGCGATCAAACCCTTGGCATCACAACAGGGACCAGGGGATGGGCCCAACACCGCAAAGCTGTTGCCGGCTTTTAAGGCCCGCCACAATTTTTGAGACCTGCAATTGATTGGCGTCCTTTCGATTTTCCTCTGGAACTATACGCAAAAGGGTCCTCCACTTTGAGACAGGTCCGCATTGAGTCAGACCCTTGAGTCATCACGAATGATCCTCACCTCAGCTGCGCTTGCAACCAATAAATCAATATGTGAATGCGTCAAAAGTTGCTGAAAGGAAGCCAAGAGGATCCAACCAAATCCGGCCAACACTGTCAACTCGTTCAGGTCATTCAGCTTGTCGGGCGCTAACTGTCAGAAAAGCGCCATTCAATGATGCGTGTACCTTTCTGAGCATGTCTGGTCCTTTGAGATTGCTATGCCACAGTCCAAACAAACCAAAAATGCAACCCGAGTATGAGGCCCACATTGCGGCTCGGGACATTGTGTTCCCCTTGGAAGGGCACTTGTCTGATCGTGGATTCTCCAGAAATGATTGATTGTCTGCGGCGTGGCACTCACTTAGTGGCACATTCGTAGTCTTTGCTTCTTGTCGGGGGGGAAAGCTGCTGGAACAAGACATGGAGTGGGAGTGTCGTTGTACTTTCCATGATTCTCATGGCTGTCCTGACAGTACGGGTGGCACCAGCGTATCAGTTTCCTGGGGTGCGAGGGGATCGCAAAAAGACACGCCCCTTTTTGCGAGTCGTTGTTTGAGGCCACTCATAAAGGGGACCGGGGGCAAAGCCCCCCCTCTTTTGTCAGAGCAGAGCACCCATCTAAAACCATCACCTCATGGAATCTCCTGAAGAAAGACCTTTCTGGCGGAGGGGCTGCTAGTCTATTGGCTCACATCCTAAGCACAATGCCCCAAAGGTGGCCAAAAGAAGAAACTAAGACCCTAAGAGTCTACCACCCCTTTCTGGCTCTCAGGGATTGAAGGAATGACCCCAAACTGAACTTTTTGTGTGGCTTCCGTTCAGACTCCCAATTCCTTCCTGAGAATTCGCACGATACCTTCCCCCCCATTTATATAGAGGAGCCTCCTTATGAAGGCCCAAGCCATTGCCTGCAATTCGTCTGCCACTATCCCCTCCCTCCTCCCCCCCCACTAAAAAAATAAATAAACCTAAAAACAAATGTATGCTTTCTTGTTTAAAAAAAAAGAAAAAAAAGAAAAAGAACAAAAACTGCTAAAAAGCGCAAACTGGCCTCTGTGGATCTGTGGGTCCACTCGGCTCCATGTCACCGGCTTCGACGCCGAGACGCTACGCAGGCCACCGCGGTGGGCTTCCAGAAGAGGTGGGCCGTGGACAGGGCCACGCATCCAAAGGTGAAGACCTCGGAGCGAGGAACCGGGGATCGGAAGGACCGGCGAAATGAGGAGGAAGAGCCCTGGTGTTTTTTTGGTTGTTTGTTTCTTTTTTGTTTCTTTTCTTTCTTCTTTTTTTCTTTTTTTTTTGGGGGGGGAGGGGTGTTTTTTTTGGGTGTGTTTGGGTTTTTGTTTGGGTGTGTTTGTTTTTTGGTGTATTTGTGTGCTCTTTTTTTGTGGGTGGGGGGGGGGGAAGAGGGGAAGGACACCACAGGAAAGCCTGCCAACCAGCATTTTGGGTTTGCGGCCGGAACCTGTGGACAGTTGGGGGATGCGTGTCCACCAACTCGTGGATCATTGAAGGTTCTAACACATGGGCCTCACTTTTGCCTTTTGCTCGTGATTGATGGACAAATGGTCATCTGTCCAAAGCCTTTGCTGGTCTAACACACACACACACACCCACCCGTCCGCTCAAACGCTCGTGAGTCCTCGTATGCACACACACATATATAGATCCAACATGGATCATGGGTCCATTCCGAAAAAGCTCCCGAGTTTGGGATGGGTGTGTTTGGGTGTGTCAAATTGGCGTGCTAAATTGGGGGACCCCCAAAAGGTCAGTGGGCTTCCCTGCCACCGCAGCCAAGAGGCCAGGATGAAGGTCCCCACGAACTCAGCTATGAAGGGAGCTGCCCGGAAGCCTTCCGCCTCAGGAGAAATCGGAGAAATGGCACTCGAGACAAACTTGGGGAGGAAAGCCCAAAAAGGACCTGGAAAGAGATAAGGCAAACCCAAACACAACCCGTGGCACCTCGGAGGGCAACATGTTGACATATTTCCCAACTTGCCGAAGCGCCCATGAATTCTAGATGTCAAAGAGCACACATGATGTGATGCAAATACGCAAGTACTATCATATGTATAATACGTATATATATATATATATATATATATATATATTATGATATGTATGCATATATACTCTATATGTACATATCTGTGTATGTGTGTGTGTGTGTCATGTGTGTGTGTGTGTGTGTCTGCTGGTGCGTGTAGGTGTTTGCTTGCCAGGGGCATCACTGTGCGCCGCAGATGTCAGCACCCTCTCAAGGCATGGTTAAATCCAGCTCCACGGGCGAGCGGCCCCAAGATCCTGTGAGGCCTAAGAAGGAACTCTTATGTGGGTGGCCCGTCATTTTTAGCGGGACCCCACCAATCCTGGTGGTTTCCCTCTTGTCCTCCAAAAACGGGCCCTCCCATCCGGGCATTTTCTTTTTGCGAACTTGGGGTGCCTTTCGCCTTCCCTTCCCTTCCCTTCCCCGATTTTTCGACGAGGGCCTTCCCGCCCACCGGCGAAACGGCGCCCGCCTCCGTGCTCCGCTCCAGGGACCCGTAGGTCACCAGGCTCTCCGCAAAGCCCTCCATGGAGCCGAAGCCGCGGGCATCCATCGATCGACTCCGTCGCGCGAGCCTATCGAGGAGGCGCTCGGCCGCCGTTTTGCTGGCTGGTGCTGCGTGGGTCTCTTCTCTCCCTTCTTTCTTTTTTTTTTGGGGGGGGGCCCGGCTTTTTTGGGCTCGGCTGCTTGCGGCTCTGGTTGGTTTGTGCTTTTGAGGCTTATTTTTAAAGGGAAGCGGAAAGGGAAACCCCTGAAGCCATTCTTGGGGATCCGAGTTCTTAAAAAAGGCACGGCCATTTGGCAGATATCAAGCATGATTGTTTGCCGTGGTGCTGTGTTTCAACTGCGGGAAAGTGGGGCTGCTCCAACGGCAAGGTTGAAAGCTCTTGAGCATGCTTCACAAGTGAGATGCGGATTCAAGCAATGAAGATACTACTGGAGGGTCCGGTCTGTTTGAAGCGTTGGACATTCTGGTGGACACCTTTGTGTGCTGATATGTAGGTTCGGTACCTGAAAACGCTGCGAGTGACCCAAAGGCAATCATACCAAGTTTGGCAATAGCGGATACAAGAATTGCCAGGGAAACCAACCTGCATTTAGAGATCCGTCCTGAAAGGAGGAGGAAACCAAGAGGAAGCTCGTCGACATTTTCGTTGGATATCCGGAAATCCAAAAATCCAGTGCCAGGCTTTTGGCGGCCAACCAAAACGTGACTCAGAGATCTTTGGGCGCCAGCCACAGCTGAGGATGCGGGAGATACGCAGGTCACCACCACCGTCCTCGATCGAAACCCGGCGAGGGGCCACATCTGTTCCCTTGGAACCAAACAGCTCAGGACTAATGTTGAGCCGGATTAACAACCCCTGTTTGTTAAGATCACAACCGTCGCCAAAACATGGCCCTGCGTCTTTCAACAGTCATGTTGACCCCGGATTAGCATAAACCCCTGTTTGTTAATGTTCCCCTCCAAAAGTGATGAATCCTCACTAAAATCAGGGACACCCCCATATTAATAAACAGGGGTTTATTAATCCGGGGTCAACATTACGAGCTAAGGAAGCAGGAGAGGAGATAACCAACAGGAGTTCACCAGGACAACTCGAGCTTGCAGGGCAGCCTAGTTCACGTGCTTGGATCTTCCGGCTTTGCATCGTGCGAGAAATGGATCTGTCTCAAAATAGGGCGTCCCAAAGCATGGGGGCCCTTTTGCAACCAGCCCAAGGGGGTGTTCAAAAACAAGACACCAAGACACCCAGCAAAATCAAGACACCCAAAACATGCAAGGGGGTTTTCAAATCACTGTCCAGGTTGCCCAAGTTGCTATTGCTTGCGAAAGTTTGAAAACCCCCTCGTGTCTTGTTTTGTTTAGGGGGGTTGTCCAGTTGCCCATTTTGTTCTTGCTTGCGAAGCCAGTTTGACTCCCCAATTCACGAACCATGTCCGACTGGAACGGACAAACGAGGAATCCTTGACTCGCTTTTTGTCTGACGTCCTACAAATTTTCCCGGCCCCAAAGGGGGTGTGTCTTTGGCTTCCCTTCAAAACCTAAACACGTTGGTACCGAGCCTCCAACAAAAAAGAAGAGAGACGAGCCAAACACACGCCAAAAGAGTGAGGTAGGGGGACTACAGTTGCCCGCCCATGCCGCCGCAGCAATTCGTCTGTCCTGCAGTTCCCGAGTAAGGAGTCAGAGAGCAGATGGGTCAGCTTGTTGTCCCTGGCTTCGACCGAGCGACGACCTCTCCATTTGCTTCTTTGTCCCCTGTGAATAAGGGAAGTTCCAGGAGTGAAACCGATTCCTTTTACAACCAACAGAAAAAATAACACATATTCTGAAGCAAATGGCAGTATTCCTGGGTTCCCTCCCTAGTTGAAGAAAGCGAACCGAACAGAACAGGGCTTGCTATATTCCCTCTTAAAGAGTGCAATTGAGTGGTGTCCATTGAAACTCACACTTTTGGAGGTAAAAGAGGGAAATCGAGGGACCCCTGTTGATGTCGAAAAATTGAGACATCCGAATCTAAATCAAACATAATGCAACCAAAAAACGTGTCAATCGGCCATATTTGCTATCGCACGGTCGCATGTTTGAACTTTCGGCCAATCTGGGAGGTATTGACCGTGCCTGCAGGGGATATGACCTCTCGAGCGCGGGCTTGAGTGATCCTGACAGAGTCGACTCAAATCCAAGAAACTCAACTCCAACATGGACAAACCAAAGGTCTAGACCCAACTCCCATGAAGGCCTGCGCGGAAAGCCGCTTGATGACGAGCCCCAGGGTGAGCAAACCTGCATGCGAGGAGACGCACGCATTCGATGGATGTTGGGTGACGGTGACTGAGCTCCCTGCTTGTATTGATGAGGCGGCTCTCCCGCTGTCTTGCCTGGCATTTGGCTTTTTGGCATCGGCGATTGGGAGGTGCCTCTGACCTGCCTGTCCCTCTACACCGATTCTCCCAGCTTTCTTTGTCCATTCGGGACAGGCACCGCTCGCGATTGGCCATCTCAGATGGCCAAACGACTGACTGGCGCTTCTGGTGAGCACGCCTAGAACTACATACAACCGCGGCAGGGCTTCTTGTGAAGCTGCCGACCTTTGAAACATTCACCTAGAGGCCGATCTGGTTCCACATGCAAAGAACGAACCGGACTGAGATGCGCCGATCATCCAGCACATCGTCGGCACAGACGAAACACTGTGCCGCAGGTAGCGCCAAACAAGCGCCAGGGAATTCTCGGGAGGCTCCCTCTCCTCTTCTCCGCGAAGACGTAATCTTGATGCTTGGCATGCGTTTCTATCTGAGGTTGCCTCATCATTTCTGTGCCAAAAGCTTTGGACCCCGTGACGAAAACGGTTCGACTTTGGGCTTCCTTTGAATGACACCATCGCCCCATAAAGCTTGCAATGTCTGAGGTGTTGCACCACCAGTAGGCACTCTCAGAAATACCCGGAGGTGGCCTCAGGGCAGTCGGGGCAGAGGTGAAGGAGAACCAAGGATGGGGAAAGCCAACAGGAAATGGGTGCCTCGTCTTTGGTTGAGTTTGTACGCCTTTTTGGGGTTGGTGTAAAGGGAAACCAAGAGAAAAACCCACCCTTTTGGGGGGTCTCCTAAAACAGACGCGCCCAAACTGACTTGAACAACTTCTAAGGGCCTGCTTCAGAAAACACCATCGATGGAGTTCCGTCGGTCGCATTTTTGGGGACCACGGGCCAAAGACCCGATCCTCCGTTTCAACAACTCCGGTTCCAGCATCACGGCTTGCACCGGGCCAAAGCCCGACAACGTCCAACTTTCCGGTTGAGGCTAGTGACATCACTTGCTCACGACCCCGCCTCCCGATTTTCCATGGGGCCCGGGCTGATCGGCTGAGGGTCCGCAGCTGGAGCTGGTAGGTCCCTCTCGTCGTCCTGAGAAACATCCGCGCTGACGCCAGTTGGCTGGCCATTCTATCTATAGTTCTTGGAGTATCACCTAAGCTGTAGATACATAAGTTGAGAAGTTGGTAAGAAAAAGCCTCAGGGCCGCCTTGACAAAAGGCTCAGGCAAAGACACACCCACGCCTCTTGAATCGCCATTCCCACATCCCCCAAATAAGACCCAAAAAAAACAACCCTCTTGTTCAAAACAATCCCAAAGCGAGCGTCCCAAGAAAGGAGGTGGCCATGTTGAACTGGCGTACCGAGCCCACCAGGAGGTCTGAATCGGCTCTTGGGAGGGTCCAATTGACACATCACCTTGTGAACCCTACATCAAAAGCCGGCCCGTCCACTCCAAGCACCTACTTCCAAAACTTCACAAGGAGGGCTCTGCACAGTCCATCCAACATGTCCGGATGCTCAACCCGCGGACCCGAGGAGACACGCCACCGCCCTGAGCCATGCGCTTGTCGATGGCCGAGCCCTCGAACGTCTTGTAGGTCCCGGGGCCAGGCATCTCCTGGCCCAACATGGGCGCGCGCCCTGTTTCCCGATTTGGGTGTGGCTCAATATTCAAGAGCCAGGGTTACGCGGGTTCAGTCTTTGTTTCCATTTACCAGGGTTCCATTTTAGGCACCCATTTTTGACCCACAGCCATTTATTCCCCCGAACCTGGAATCCCAGCCCCCCCCCCCCTTGCCCCATTTACTCCCCTGATGAACCTGGAACCCCAAACCAGGCCCCATTCCTGGAGGATTTGTCCTACGGCCTTTGTTTGGGACGTCGGAATGTTTCAGGTCGCAGTTCTGCCTCGCTTACGAAAGCTGCGTTCATTCTTGACAAATTGACTGTTGTCCGCGTTGTATCAAGAAAGCATTGGTTGGGGTCCCTAATTTTTGACAACCACATAAATGCTTGTGATGAGAAAATACTTTTGGCTTCTAAAATTGCCACGGGAACCAGCATGAATCCAAACATTTCGAAAGGTCCCCCAAATCTTAGAAAGAGGTCGACTCCACTCCGCTCCAAAGTCATGGTGAAGCTCACAATTGGTCAACAAAAAACAACCAATTCGCGAGAGGTGTCAATTGGTTGAACAATTGCCAGCGTCCATGGCATGCGACTTATCCGCAATCCAAGGCCCAAAGGCCCTGCCTTCTTGCTGCGGACGTCGACCCACTTCTCTGAAATCACCTGGTGGGTCAAAGTGGGTATATAGGTGTATATATATATATATAGGTGTATATATGTATGTATATTCTATATATATATATATATTTGTTTGTGTATTTACTTATTTATTTATATACATACATACTGTAATACCATGTTCAATGCAACACAATACAAGACACGACAATACAACACAACACAGTACACAAACACCAACATCATGCAAACATTTGTTTGCTGCCCGAACACCTCTCTTAAGAATGTCTCCCTACTAAGCTGCAATGCCCAGGCTTGATTCCGCTCAGGTGGTCAGTTATTCGGCCTAAATGGAGTCTCGGCCAATTGCGTTACTGTGGGAAGATTTGGCTTCCATCCCTCTCCTTTATCCCCTCCCCGTCAAATGGGTGTGGATCAAAATTAAGCCACCAGGGGAACGCAGATTTTAGTCCAGCCACAGGGCCACAACACAAAACGAAGAAACCTCGCGTCGCGCCGTCGCAGGCTGCCTTGTCCAAGAAGTTGGAGGCCTTCTCCTTGGGCACCGTATGCGTCGCCTGCTTGTCGGTCACCTGTCAGGCGGATTTTTTGCAGGGCGAAAACGGCGGCTTGAATGCATGGAAGCGTCAGAAGCTGAGCAAACTTTAAGGGGAGGTGTGAAAACATGATTAATTTGGCCATGGGTCAAAATCCAAATCCTACTCCCAGTGAACATCCCAATCCCCACTAAAATAGACTAAAATGGGTGGTGCACCTACCCCAAAATGGTACCATTGGTTTTGACCCACAGCCATCTGAAGACAAGTTGTGATAGCTATGTGTGTGCCTCCCCTTTCCGCTCCGCTGCCCCAGTCTGTGCTTTGGCCAACCTCCCTGTGTCCACGAACGGCACATCGATGCCGCGGTCCGAACGCCGCCTGGTTGTAATTAATGGTGTAGTGGTTGGGAGCCTGGGCTTCCCGCGCGGGAATCAAATTGAAGGCTGTCAAAAACAGAAGCTCCTTTGGGACGAGCATTTGGGACGTCATTGGGTGTCGCGTTTGCAGGGTTCAGGGCCCAAAGAGGGTCTTAACAGTTTGACGAACCCCCTCCCGCGACACAAGAATCCAGCGACACCGAACTCAACCCCTCGAACCCCTCGGAACCCCAATCTGTTAGGAACCCAACAAACCGCTCCCTGCCGCATCAGAACCCGGTTCACCACCGCTCCATACCACCAGCAACCCCATCCACTGCCTCATGGAGCCCTCCGAACCACTCCATGAGCCCCGGAACTTTTCCTTAAAAACCAAGGAACACCCCCCCGCGCCCACTGAGGCGCCGGGCCAAGGACTTATCCACGGGCACGGACTTGGAGCCGTTCTGGTCCTGCGTCTTCCAGTTCAGAGCGCCCACTGGGTTCGTGTCCATTTCTCAGCGCGATGCTCAGAGGTGGAGAGAGATGCCGCGAAACACTCAGGAACGCGCATTGGCAAACACCCCATTTTCAGCTGGGGCAAAACGTACATTGTGTTTTATTCCAACAAAGGAGTTTGCAGGGTCTTGCGTCTAACTCTCAGAAAAGCAGGACGTTTTCGGACGGATGTTTTTTCGACCTGCTCTAAGGGAGCCGCTATTGTTGCACTTCTGCTTCAGGCTGTAATAGCCCGGAGCAGGCACCTCACATGTGCGAGCATTGACATGGCCGGGTTTTCTTTTGAGGCCGGTACCCTTTGGGTTGGTGAAACGGAAAACCAAAGGTAAAGCCATCATTTTGTGGTCCCCCGTATTTTTACACACATATCCACTCTTTGAGTGCTAAACGAAGACACACCCACGTGAAGATTGATGTCTACCAACCGCGTTCAGAACATGTCCACTAAGCATATTGGTCTCAAAATGTTCAACTACCCCGTTTGTGTTCAAGGAAAACCAAAACAAACGTACCATGTGAAGGGATTATATCTCCTCTTTTCTGAAACATGCTCGCCAAGCCCAAGCCATGTCGGCATGCTTCCCCCGGCTTGTCAACGTGGGCTATGCATGGGTCCCGGAAGCACGAAATGGACATCAGATTTAGGTGGGGATTGTCCCCCCACCACTTTTGAGGTGGTTCCCACTCATGGCCATGTGAGTCAGAATCAAAACCTAGTATTAAAATGGTCTACCCGGAACCATGTAAGGAACTCAAAAAGGCGGCTCCACCCAGTTATGATTGGGATTACTTTGCTGACCTTCCTCTACCCAGGTTTGGACTGGTCTGCAAGGCGGTGTTCCCGATTGCCCTCTTGGGCTCCGGCAGACTTTGCATGCCGAACGGCTCCGTCCAAGAAGGAGCGCCTGTTGCCTGACGCGAGAAGCTGTGTCCAGCGTAACAACTTCAAGGAGTGAGTGTCTGAAGAGGAAAACTATCCCTTTGAAGGTTGTAGAAAGCTTAGAAGGAAAAGGTCATATCTCAAGCATGCGAAAAAGGTCGACCTGTGCATGCATTCAGGTCACTAAGTAGTCATGCTCACGTAGTCACTATGCTGGTCCCTCATTCATGGAGCCCCGGTCCGTGTTCAGCCTTCGGAAACTCTCTGGACCCTTGGAGGGTTGAACATTTGAGACGAAAGTCTTTTGCTCGCCCAACGTGGGCCCAAAACCCTTCACAGGCGCCAAAAGCCCCCAAAGGAAGGCCAACAATTCCGGCGCCTGAGTGTTCCAGGCCATCTGGGTGTGTCTTTCTTAGGGTACCCTCTTTGGGTGACTTTAGCGAGAAACCAAAAGGAAAACCGCAATTTTGGGGGGGTAAAAGGAAGGCACACAACTTTTTTCGGCAGACGGGGCTCCCCGTGCTCAAACAAAATTGAGGAAACGTGCAACATGCGGCTGTGGGACAAAAATAGCTCCCTACAATGGAACTCTGGTACTACGGTGACCTAGTGATTTCATTTTGAAACATAACCATGTGTTTGTTGAAATGGAAGGAATCTCTCATAAATATGTACATATATATATATATATACATATACGTATCTGGCCGTAAGAAGCAAAGTCCATCGAAAGAAAGCAAAATGGCACTCGGCCGCCGCATTCCTGAGCGGACAACACAAGCACTGGGAAGGATCCCTTCCTAAGAAATTCAAACGGAAACCAAGAGGAAAGCCACCATTCTGTTGGATTTTGGGGGTCTCCGAAAGCAAAACACGACACGCCCAGATCTTCCCAGCGCGCTCGCCGACGGTGACCGAGCGCGCCTTTCGGGATCTTTCCGAAGACCACCCGGCGGTTCTGGGAGAAGACGTCCTCAGAGTCCGCGGGGGGGATCTGGGGAATCGCCCCGAAAATTTTGTTGGCCGGGTCAAAGATCTTCGAAGCTGCAGAGGGGTCCCCTCGACTTTGTCACAATCCCACCAGCTCTGAGACAATAGCAAACACGTCCAAGGGCTGAGTTTTGCTCACGCCAAGCTGGTGCCTGTGCTTGCCGCGCCTTGCTCTTGTTGCACGGGTACTGAAAGAAATCCTGCCAGGCGCAGATAGCGGGGCGCTATCCAGAAAAACATGTCATGGGAGGAAGACGAGATCTTTGGCAAAAGGGGGCACAGTGTTCCAAATGTACGACTGTCTTTGACCAAGGGCGTACTTCCCGCGCAGAATCACTCGCGCGCAGACGGCAAACCGCAAACCTCCCGCCTTCCGCTCGTAGGTGGTGGGATCCGGATTCTTGTGCATAGGCTTGAAGCTGCGCTCCTGTCGAACGCCAACTTGCTTCGTGAGGGCATGCGGATGGCTCAGAGATAGAACGACAGCTAACATGGAAAAACGGCGCTGGTGGTGGGGTTGGTGCAAAGACTCTAGCATGCCTTGCAGAGCTGGTGTGGACAAGAAAACTCGGTGCAAGGAAAGGATCTGTAGAAACACACTTGACATGAATTGCCGGCACACCTGCCAACTTGCTCTGGCAACCCCTCCAATACTCGGAACGCCCTTCTTTGCGGGTGTTTGAAGGGGGAAACCACAAGGACACAGCCATCAAGGATGAGCCGAAGGTCCCAAGCGGGAGCCTTTCAAGACCCTTCCATGCGACACAAGGCCCTGCAGCGGAGGCAGATTTTTCTTCCGTCCAAGTGCGTCCTATGGTAGATGAATGAGTCCACTGGAACGTCAAGAGCCCGGCCAGACCCGAACCACTGATCTATGAAGCCGCGTTACCCTTGTGTTGGCTGATCCAGACATGTCTGACCTGACGGAGGCGAGAGCAGCTGAAACCACAGAAGCTTCATAAGCTCGGTCTCGTTGTATTTCTCCACGGGCCACTGGGCCTTCCGCTTTGGCCCCCCGGGCTCCATCTTGGAGAACTTGCCGCCGCCATTGAGCCTCCAGTCCTGCGAGCACCCCACGGATTGATGGGTTTCTTTTCCATGAATAGAGGTGTCTGAATTTCAGCTCGGACACGAAACCAACAAGGGGATGGATGTCCACCAAGTTCGAGGTTCTCCCCTTTGGAATTCACAGGCAGATGGTTCTCAAGGTGCCCCATTCCTGCACTGGACTCCAACGAGCTCTCAGTGCAAAAGAGGCATGAGTTGTCCCGCGTATTTCGAGGTGGCCAATAAGGATCCAAAAACAGAGGTGGCAAAAAACACCAGGCAGATTCCGGGGAGAAAAACAACAAAAACAAAAAACGGATGCAGTCCTCATGGCCAACATACTTCCCAGGGCCTGGAGCTTTGTTGGCAGCTCGCATGATCTGGTTGATGCGGCTGGAATAGCCGCCAGTGTCCTCCCGGGCTCAAAGCATGCTGGCCATGAGTGAGTTCACGGCTGCCTCTTTTGCACGGCTTCAGCTCGGGTCCTTGGAAAAGGCTCCATGCGTCACCCGCTTCGGATGCCCGGTGTCACCTCAGAGCGCGGAACTGGGTCTGCTCAAACCTGAGGCTCCCAAACACCCGGAAAAGTCGCGCTTCTTTGGGCGCGGACCAACGCCGTGGCAGGGCACTGCATAGTCCTGCCAGCGGAGGCTAGGCTTTGCGTTGCGGGAGGGCTCACGTACCAAAATGGGTGTCATGTCAAACTTGGACAAGGGCAGGTTTCCCTGTTGGCTTCCTAAATTAAGCTGGGCCATGATTTGGAGCAACCTCAACTGAGCCACAGCCAAGACATGCAGCGAAAATGACTTGTCGTGGGAATCCATAGACACCGAGCCTCACAGCCCCAAACCTCCGGCCACAAACTGTTTACGTCCACCCCCATGAGTGATTTCCCTTTTCCCTCAAAAGGGAAACAAACCCAAACAGGGGTGTGAGCATTTACCAAAAAACGGCTCCCATGAGTGGTTTCCCACTTGATTGTGGGTCAAAATAAAACCACCAGGGGGCCGCGGCTTTTAGTCCTTCTTTCCATTTGCCAGGGTTCCATTTGGGTACCTATTTGGCAAGTTGGTCGCCGAAATCCGCCTCTTGAGTGAGCACCGGCGCTGAGGAGGACTTCTCCATCGGCCTCTCGCGTGCTCGTGTTTTCCCATTTTTTAGCCAAGCCAGACGCAAAATGGGGGTAGGGCCCCTTACTTGGAGAAGCCATGTAGGTTTAACTAAAACAGCAGATTCGAGAAGCCGGTATTATAATGGTCTACCCAGAACCATGTAAAGAGCTAAGAAGGCGGATATCCGCAGCTATTTATGGTTGGGATTGCCCCTTACTAAGCGTCATCTACCCGGGTTTTGAGGATGTGGCCCGAATGAATCTCTGCCCATCGTGAAACTTGCCAGCTGAAGCTGACAACCGAAGCTCCAGTGCGCTGCGCAAAGCTCTTGGGGCCCCCAACTTGCCAGACTCAACCCAGTGCCCCCCCCGCCCAGCCCCTTCTCCACTTTCAAGCAGCCCTGGTAAACCAAACGGGTGCGTCTTTTTAAGGTTGGACCCCCCAAAACTGGTGTTTGTGGCCCTTTAAACCCACAAAAGAACTGCCCCCCCAAAAAAGGACACACCCGAAAAATAGCCTGCGAACCACCTATGAAAATCGCCTGCGAGCCATCGACACTTTGGCACCCTGACTTCAGAAGCCACGAGGTGGACTTTCGCTGCGCCTCGCAGAGGACAACTCTGCGGCCGCGCACGCGGCCCAGCTTGAGCCCAAAGCTGAGAGCGCGGATGCGGCTTGCCTGGATTTTCTGGACGTTGAAACAGCACCCTCCCACCAGCTAACGTGGGGTTGTGCAACAAGGGCCCGGTAGAAAGACGGCGCTCCCCTTGGAAAGGGCCGTTTTGCAGTTCCATGTTAGGTGGGAGGGTACCCAAGAGTGCCAAAAATAAAGGATCAACCAGGGGGAACAGGTCGAAGCCAGAGAAAGCACATCACCGAAATTATAGCCAGGCCTATGGAGGATTCACACGCGGCTATTGCCAAAAGAGAAGTTGCAAACATGTGGCCCGTCATATCACCAAACGGGCCAAAAGAAAAAAAAAGTTTAGACTTACAGAAAGTAAAGCAAGCTCTGAAGACAGTAGAACAACAATATTTGTTCAATTTAAACTAAGTCTCCCCCCCACATCCAAACCGTCTAGTAAGGAGCCCTGCAAAGGGGGTTGACTCTACTTGGTGTACTTGGTGGAATCATCTTTTTACATTTGGTATCCCTTTTAAACGCCTCAAAAGAAGCCAAACCCGAACATGGAAACTATAGAACCCCAAACGTGCCCTCAACCTTCCAAATGACGCATTCTCCGATTGAGGCCCACATGCGACAAGCACTGAAGACCCCCAGGGAGGAGGGGCAACCACACGCAAAGCACTACCCAAAGCAAAGTTAGCATACTTTGTGGTCGCATATCCCGCTTTCCCACTTTTGTCAAAAACAAACTTTCCCAGAGTGAAACTCAAACTTGCGGAGAACCGGAACCGGACAACCGGAACCCCCCAAACTGGAAACACGGGAACCCCAAGGGACAAACATGGCTCGCTCCATCGGCCGAAACGGATCCGGATCCCGGGGCCTCGCTGTCCCCAATCTGATCCATGCGCGCAGCCCCAGCCAGGTCCACGGTCTGCAGCTGCGCACGCCTGGGGAAGAGGGAACAGAAAGTGCAGGCTTTCCCCGTGCAACCCCAAAAAGGGTCTCAAAAAGCACACACACACACACACACACCCTCAGGAGGGTCTTGGAATCTGAGCAGTTGTTAGGTTCACAAGTGCCCTGCCCTTGAGCACTTCGGCATGCTAGCACGCTGCTCACGGCGGGATTCGGGCTTTGACATGCTTCGGTCCCTCGGCATTTCTGAATCCCGAAAACAACGTTTTTCGCAAGCTGTTGATGGGCAAGCAACAAACCCAAAAGCTGTTTTTGCAGACCCCAAAATCAGCGAATGACCCTCAAGCATCTGAGAACACACAATGACCGCCGATTTGGCAATCCATCCGAGCATCGCAAAGAAATGGGCAAACTAGACATGGGTCACAATCAAAGCCGCTCGTGTTTGTTTGTAATTGTGCTACCCCAATCCATCTTTCTGGAAATGAAAGGGCGGATCTCCCCACCTGCTTCTGGCTGGGACCCCTTGCCAACCTTCATCTAACCGGGTTTTGATTGTGTTGATTGTGGACTCGCATGGGCTAAAAGAATGTCTTGCGAGTTTGCCTCATCCATCTGAGTCATAATCAAAACCCGGTACTAAAATGGTCTACGAACCATGCGGCCGCCTATTTATGGTTGCGATTGTCCCTTCATCTACCTTCAACTACCCGAATCGGTTTTAAGGACGTGGCTCATCGTTTTGCCTAAGCCTTCCCCTGTCCGCTGTTCCGCTGCCTCGGAGAGGGGAATCCTTTCACCCCTTGCTAATGTTAACCCCGGATGAAGCAGAACCCCTGGTTGATTTTAATTGGGGGGTGTCCAATTCCTTTTAGTGGGGATTCAGACCACTTTTGGAGGGAACACCCCCCTAATCGGAGAATCGGGTGTGACTCCGCACGTGGCTCTCTCACTTTCCCTCCGCCTTCTCCTCATGTCATCCCGGCCCGGGATCAGCTGCTCGATCTGGAAGGTGGCCATGCCATGGGACCGCGACGAGGCCGCGTTCATGTTGGTCCGCGCCACCGCGCGCATCTTGTGGCCTTCCCATGGGGCGGCTCGCAGAGATCTTTGCTTGGAGACCCCTGGGGTGCTGCTCGCTGTTGGTGGGAAACCAAACCCGTTTTGGGGTTCCTGGCTAAAAAGGTATGTTCAGAGAAGCCCAACTCTTTCGAACGGGGGCTTCCATGGCATCCCTTTTGAATTTGGATTCCGTGGCGCAGTGGTCATATCCATAGAAAGTTGAGCAAGCAAGATTCAAGATGGGCAAAACTGTGGCCCCACGCGAAAAAGCATCCTGAACTCAACCCATGTCGAAACTGTAGGAACTCCCAGCAGTTTGCTCTAGCCAAGGAATTAAACGAAATTTCAGACACGCACACACCAACAAACGTCAGGCTTTCAAAATGGTGGACCTCCCGTGGCCCTGCGCACCTCACTTTGAACAACCCCACATGTCGCATTCGCAGCGAAGGGACAGGGGAAAAAGAGCCCAGCGCCATAGTCACGTCCCAAACTCGTGGAATGGTTAAACTGGTTTCAGTGAGATTTTGCAACATGGTTGGGTTGCTTTCAGTGAAAACAATCCGCTGGTTCGTTTTGCCAAAATGGTTGGCGCCCTTGTTTTTGTTTTCTTTGGATCTTCCACTTCCATTAAAACAACTCCAAAATGGTTGGTCTCCTTTTGGTTCTCCATCAAACCAACCCCAAAATGGTCCATGTCCTTTTGATTGCCTGTCAAACCTCCCAAAACGGTTGGTTTCCTTTTGGCTTTCCTTCAAACAAAGCACTTAGCGCGGGGTCCCCGGCCAAAGTCCAGCAATCGCAGCACATCCGCCACACTGGTCACCACGTTCCAGGACAGGTCTCGGGAACGCATCGCGGGATTTGCTTCGTCGAAGAACCAACCCACTAAGTTTGGTTGAACATCCAGGCGGGGTTAGGTCGAGCCAAGCACCACTGCTGAAATGTGTATATATATATATATGTATATGATATATATATATATATATATATAATGGAACTATATATATATGTATGTATGTGTGTACGTGTTTGATGTGTGTGTGTGTGTGTGGGACAGGCTGGGTGCGCGCAGCCAATACCAACCAGCATCTCCCACTAAAGAACCAGGGGTTCAGGGTTAAGACTCCTTGACTCGCTGGGCGAGCGGGTGGGGCGTGTCATGGCTTCAACAAAACGGACCTTGGTCAAAACTCGAAGCGCCTCGCAAGGGATATGGTGAGCTCAAGCGGTCGATTTCGATTTTATGTTGTCTTCGAGAGCGCCAAAAGTGGGTCAAACCAATTTGAAACATGACCTCACCAAATCGTTCTTCTTTGCATTGAAGGAATTGTGCTCTTTCACAAGGCATGTCAGCCCTGGACCCTAGACCTGTGGGCTGTTGGGGGTTGGTCACAAAGACAAAGTCGGGCGCCGGCTTTTCTCAGCACATCCACTCGAGCCTAATGCACACCGGCCGCTTGCCGTTGGCCACCGAAGATGCCCAGGACGTGTGGAAAATCCCCGGCCGAAAATGTGGCGCCGACAGCCCACCCGGCTTCAACGAGCTGGGCTGAAGGGTCTTCCTTCCAGCCTATTCTGAGATGGCCTGAAGACAACTCATCTGCACGTGTTCAAGTTCCACCCAACGAATGCCAAACAAAGATCACTGCTTTGCGCAAGTCAAGCCGAAGATCTGTTCTTTCCCTTGCCAGCTGACCCGTTATACTTCCTGATTATCAGATAGCAGATTAAAGTTGGCTGATTCTGTTTCAGGGAACCCTCAAAGCTCATACGTTTCTTTTTGTTTTATTTTCGGAGTGGAAATTGCACCTCTAAATTGTTGTTCATGTGTCTTCTTGGGAGGGACCTTGAAAATGCCAGGTGTCTTTTTGGTGCGTGGGCTTTCACACCTCATAGTTCTTGCATTTGTTCTTTTCGCGGAGAGGGAGCTTCAAAACACAACGTTCTGTTGCGGGGAAACTGAACACGCGTAAGCAAGCGTCAGAGACAACACAAACAGCGCGCCCCGCCAGAGACACCCGGACAGACCGCGAGTGCGTTTCCTCGACGTCACGCAAAGTGGACCGCCAACACGACCACGGAAACGGCAAAGACAAAGACAAGACGTCGAATGAAGGCCACGGGCGCTGACCGGCGCTGATCTGCCACAAAATGGACAAGGTCACCTCAAGAGCAGGCTCGCCCAAGCAAACACAAACTGGTCGCAGCAATCCGGGTGAACCTGAAACCACAGCGCAAGGTTGGGACGGGACTCAAGATTCAGAGGAAATTTGCGTAACAAGAGAACCAAGCACAAAGCAAGCACTACATTGTCATTGGGCAGCACACAAAGTACAGCGGGTTGAAATTACCCCCCTACTCCCCTACCCCCCCCCCCCCCTCCCACCCACCCCACCCCACCCCACCCCACCCTACCCCACCCCACCCCACCCCACCCCACTCCACCCCACCCCATCCCTCAACCCAACACAATGCGGCAAGAATGTGGGGCCGTTATCCCGGGCGCTAGCACAAATAGCCCATCTTTGCTTTTCACCAAACACGCGGAAAACTCTACTCTCGGGCATCATTGGCTCCGTTGCTACGTCGCTAACGCAGCTCCACCTGCAACTCCTCCACCAAGCCTCAAGCGCTTCGCGATGGTAACAGAACTGTCCATGAGTAGAACCTGCCACGTAAGCACACTCTCAAGGTTGGTATGTCATATCCCCATTTTCCAAGTCGGAAACGAGCAAAACCTGCCATGACTCTTCACTTTCAATGATTCGGGAATAGGCACGTATATGCAATACATATATATATATATATATATACAGGGATGGTTATTCCATCTGTAAATGCTGTCTATGTCCGCCATTTGCGTTTGGAGACTGCTTTGTGGATGCTGTCACAGTGAAACAAAAATAAACCCACCATTGCAATTCTCGGCACACCCATTGAGGAGTATGAGCTTTAATTGGGAACCTTTTGGGGGGATCGGAAATGCGTAGAGTTTTACCGATTGGGGCTGGTCCAACGATTGAACTTCACGGGGATGTTCTTGAACAAGCCTTCAGAACTTGCTTTCAGAAAAAGCGGAAAACCAAAAACAGCCTAGGTGCGAGCCACAACAGCCCCGGAACTCCTTTTGAACCCTCCCTGAAAGCTTCCCCGGACCACCCCAAAGCCTACCTGGGCAAGGACCCCATAGCTTCCAGCTGTTGGGGAAAAAAGATTTAGGCACCCAGGGCGGCACCCCCGTTTACTTCGAAACCCATGTTGGCTGGGGGCACATGCCAAACCGAGCGAGGGACGGCCCAAGACCTTCTCGTGCTTGGCATTCACCTCCTCGTTGGTCAAAGTTCGGGACATGTCTCGCCAGGTCACCCGGAACATCTTGGATGTCTTGCCTGCCAAAAGAAGAGGGAGCGCGACATGATGTTGGAGTGCATGTTGGCGCTGAAGGGACGCGGAGTGCAGCTTTGGGTTTCTCGTTTGTGTTTTCCTCTGTGCTCTCAGGCAACACATTGAAAATGACATGAAACACCAGCGCGATCAAGTGCAAATCTTCGAAACGGCTCGGGAGAAAAAGAAATGAAGCTGAACTGATGGTCTTCCACCAGGTCAGGCCTGTCTTCGGGTGCGTGAACTCGTCCATCAAATCCACCTTTTCAACCTCACACACGGGTCCCTATGCGTCTCTTTTCGTGGCCAATTTTTGGCAGGCTCATTGAAAGGGAAACCAAAGGAAAGCCACCCATTAGGGTCTCCTCTTTTGAGGCAAACCAACTGGTCCAAGTTCTTTGTCGCGCACAAGCCGTGCCTGATCGCCGCCCTCATCACGGATCATTTCGAAGAGGTCGTTGTCAACAAAGTCAGCTGGAATCCACATGCTGATGTCCTGGCTTCGGAAGCCGCATGCGGATGTCGAGCCCCAAATTTCATTCGAACCCACATGCTGTTCGGCCAACAGCCAACAGCCAAGAGCGAGTTGTCCTTGAGCACCGGGGGGTACTTGGAGAACGGCTTGAATCTGGTCTTCCTGAGCCAACAAAAAAACCCAAAGCCCAAAACATCCCACAACCCCAGAATCCCAAACCCAAAACCCCCAAAACCCCCAAGATCCCGCAATCCGAACCCCAAAATTCTGCAACGTACAACCCATCTTCTCTTTGGTCTCCTCTCGTGAGGCCAAGGTTCTCTGCAAACGACTTTGGCGAGAACTGGCTGGAGAATCGCTCATCGTCAGACCAAAAAAGCCTGATGTCCGGAATGCCAAAGAGCACCTGACACGCGAACAAAAAAAGAAAAAGCGGCGGAGCTAGCTTTCTGGCCAACAGCTTGGAAACCTCTCCATTTCGAGACATGGCCTGCTGTCTACTTCCATTTTAGATTGGGGTTTGACCCCGGCAACAAAAGGAACCACTGCCTGAACCAAACACGGAACTCAACCGCGTGCATCTTGCATTTCGGGACAAATTATGTTGGGGCTGGAGGGCTCGGCTGCAGTTATGGCGAACCATGTTGCACCTTCAAACCCCCGTGAAAAATATATGTCCAGTTGTGAATTCGATTCCCTTTCAAGCCAACAAGCAAACATATATATATATATAAATTTAAAAAAAAAAAAAAAAAAAAAAAAAAAAAAAAAAAAAAAAAAAAAAAAAAAAAAAAAAAAAAAAAAAAAAAAAAAAACCTGTCCGCTAAGATGGCGGACGTTGTTTCGGGCCAGGAAACGCTCTTTTTTTCCTCTAAAGGGCACGGGTTTGTTCCCGGCTTTCCCCGGGCGAGGCCGCTGGGCGCCGCTTCGCGCCGCTTCGCGCCGAGGCGCCATGGCCAAGCGCTCCAGGCCCAAGCCGAAGGCCCAGCCGTGCACCTTCTCGGGGTCCAGGCCCGCGTTTCGCAGGACCTGAAGATGCGCTCTGAAACCCCCGCGTCTTGCGCTCAAAAAGTTGGGAAAACCCCCGCGTCTTGCGGAAAAGCGAGAGAGAGAGAGAGAGAGAGAGATAGATCAGATAGATGGAAAGAGAAAGAGGCCCTGCAGTCAACTAAAACTTGATAGGTCTGGGACTTGGAACTCCCCAAGTCTTAGAAAGCGATGGCTAGATGGATGGAATGATGGATGGCTAGAATGGCATGGAATGGAATGCAGTGGAATGCAATAGCAGTGGCAATGTAATTGAATGCCATGGCAACGCAATGTAATTGAATGTTATGGCAATGCAATGGCAATGCAATGGAAGGCAGTGGAATGCAACGGAATGCAATGGAATGCAATGGAATGGAATGGAATGCCTGAAGTACAAAACAAAGGAAAGCAATTCAAGGCAAAGCAATGCAATGGAATGAAGTGAAGTGGAGTGGAGTGGGATGGATAGACAAATGAATGGATGGATGAATGGATGGATGGATGGATGGATGGACAGGCAGAAACAAAGACAGATCCAAGAGATCCCTTCCCACTGTTCCCCTTGCAGATTCTTGGCAAGCCAAAACGCAGCGCAGGTGCAAAACGGCGAAACTCAGGGCTCGGCATCATGGTGAATGACCTCGCAATGCAAGCTGGGCGACTAAGCCAAATCATGCCCTTGCTTTACGCACATGTGGGCAGCTTTTGTGCTAACATGCAATCATTTCTTCCTTTTGCAAGTGGCCAAAGGGGAAGTTCCCTCATGAAAATATTTCGTTCATGCGGGTGCCAGCAAAACTTGCTGCAAGCAAGGGAGTTCTTTAAAAGTTTTTCCGCAATGTCAGGCTGCATCTGATTAGTGATTTGGGTGAGTGGGTTGAAGGCGTTGTGGCCCTCAAACGCACGTTATATGTCGAAAAACAGCCCGCAACCACCAAACGAACTGCAGCTTCACCACTGGGGCGCGTGTGCGGCCCAATATTAAGATCAAACCCTACCTCTTCTTCGCTCTGCCCCGTCAAACAACAACAACAACAACAACAACAACAACAACAACAACAACAACAACAACAACAACAACAACAACAACAACAACAACAACAACAACAACAACAACAACAACAACAACAACAACAACAACAACAACAACAACAACAAAAAAACGGCCCCAACTCCAACAAACATCAGCCACAAAGGGGAGGTCCCAAGCAAAAAGCGAGGGGAACAAAGGACAAAGAAATAGACCGCCAACCACCACCGCCAACCACCCCCACCACCACCGCCAGGAAAACAACGACAACAACGACAACAACAACGACGACGACGACAACGACGACCACAACAACAACAACAACAACAACAACAACAACAACAACAACAACAACAACAACAACAAACACAACAACAACAAACAACAACAACAACAACAACAACAACAACAACAACAACAACAACAACAACAACACACAACACAACACAAACAACCAACACAACAACAACAACAACAACAACAACAACAACAACAACAACAACAACAACAACAACCAACAACAAACAACAACAACCAACAACAACAACAACAACAACAACAACAACAACAACAACAACAACAACAACAACAACAACAACAACAACAACAACAACGCCCCGAACCGACATAATGCCGCGGCCATGAAGGGACAAGCTAGCTGAAACCTCACGAAACCCTGCAAATAGCGGTGTTTTTCGCTGTTCCATCCATCAAAAGTAGCTTTTTGTCAACCCTCTATTTTTGCAAAAATCGAGGGTTTGCGACAACCCTTTCAGCAAAAAAAACATCAGGTTCCTGGAAAAAGTGTTTCAACAAAGGGGTTGGTTTGGTCAAGGGATGACATGTCCACCTCAGCACATGTGTCTTGCCACACTTTGTCACAAACAAAAAGATTGCTCTTCTTCAACCCTTGCAAAAACGTTTCAACCAAGGGGAAGCCACTTCAAGCAAATGCACCGTGCTGAGCGGGTGCACGTGAGCGGGTGTTCTTATTAGGTGTAGGCGTGGATACCGTGCTGAGCGGGTGCACGTGAGCGGGTGTTCTTATTAGGTGGTAGGCGTGGATGCAGTGCTGAGCGGGTGCACGTGAGCGGTGTTCTTATTAGGTGGTAGGCGTCGTGCTACGTGAGCGGTGTTCTTATAGGTGGTAGGCGTGGATGCAGTGCTGAGCGGGTGCACGTGAGCGGGTGTTCTTATTAGGTGGTAGGCGTGGATACCGTGCTGAGCGGGTGCACGTGAGCGGGTGTTCTATTAGGTGGTAGGCGTGGATACCGTGGAGCGGGTGCACGTGAGCGAGTGTTCTTATTAGGTAGTAGGCGTGGATGCAGTGCTGAGCGGGTGCACGTGAGCGGGTGTTCTTATTAGGTGGTAGGCGTGGATACCGTACTGAGCGGGTGCACGTGAGCGGGTGTTCTTATTAGGTGGTAGGCGTGGATACAGTGCTGAGAGGGTGCACGTGAGCGGGTGTTCTTATTAGGTGGTAGGCGTGGATGCAGAGCGTGGGTGCAGCGGGTGCACGTGAGCGGGTGTTCTTGGATGCGTGCTGAGCGGGCGCATAGGTGGTAGGAGGCGTGGATACCGTGCTGAGCTGGTGCTCGTGAGCGGGTGTTCTTATTAGGTGGTAGGCATGGATACAGTTCTGAGAGGGTGCACGTGAGCGGGTGTTCTTATTAGGTGGTAGGCGTTGATGCAGTGCTGAGCGGGTGCACGTGAGCGGGTGTTCTTATTAGGTGGTAGGCGTGGATACCGTGCTGAGCGGGTGCACGTGAGCGGGTGTTCTTATTAGGTGGTAGGCGTGGATACCGTGCTGAGCGGGTGCACGTGAGCGGGTGTTCTTATTAGGTCGTAGGCGTGGATGCAGTGCTGAGCGGGTGCACGTGAGCGGGTGTTCTTATTAGGTGGTAGGCGTGGTTGCAGTGCTGAGCGGGTGCACGTGAGCGGGTGTTCTTATTAGGTGGTAGGCGTGGATGCAGTGCTGAGCGGGTGCACGTGAGCGGGTGTTCCTATTAGGTGGTAGGCGTGGATACCGTGCTGAGCGGGCGCACCTGAGCGGGTGTTCTTATTAGGTGGTAGGCGTGGATACCGTGCTGAGCGGGTGCACGTGAGCGGGTGTTCTTATTAGGTAGTAGGCGTGGATGCACTGCTGAGCGGGTGCACGTGAGCGGGTGTTCTTATTAGGTGGTAGGCGTGGATGCAGTGCTGAGCGGGTGCACGTGAGCCGGTGTTCTTATTAGGTGGTAGGTGTGGATACAGTACGTGAGCGGGTGTTCTTACCAGGTGGTAGGCGTGGATACCGTGCTGAGCGGATGTCAGATCTGACACAGTTCACGTGAGCGTGCTTATCATGTGCCAGGCATGTGCGCCGTGCTGATGTGTAACTAACAGTATTTTGCGCAAGTGACGCAACAAAACACTGGTATTTGCGATGTTTTCCGCGCCCGAGATGAGAAACTGCAGGTATTTGCGATGTTTTCAGCGCGTGCTGCACGGGAGAAACGGGAAGCGCCAGAACGCTGCAAATACTGGTGTTTTTTGCGTGCGAAGCTGAAAAGCACTGCGATTTGCAGTATTTTGTGACGATGCAGAGCGCGGCGTTATCTCGCTTCGGGAGGAACAACAACAACCACCAACGACAACAACCACAACAACACCAACACCAACACCAACACCAACACCAACACCAACACCAACAACAACAACAACAACAACAACAACAACAACAACAACAACAACAACAACAACAACAACAACAACAACAACAACAACAACAACAACACAACAACAACACAACAACAACAACAACAACAACAACAACAACAACAACAACAACAACAACAACAACAACAACAACAACAACAACAACAACAACAACAACAACAACAACAACAACAACAACAACAACAACAACAACAACAACAACAACGACAACGACAACGACAACGACAACGACAACGACAACGACAACGACAAACAACACAACACAACCACCAACCACAACCACAACCACAACAACAACAACAACAACAACAACAACAACAACAACAACAACAACAACAACAACACACACAGCAACAGCAACAGCAACAGCACACACACAACACAACACAACAGCAACAGCAGCAGCAGCAACAGCAACAGCAACAGCAACAGCAACAGCAACAGCAAAGCAACAGCAACACAACAGCAACACAACAGCAACACAACAGCAACACAACAACAACACAACACAACAACAACAACAACAACAACAACAACAACAACAACAACAACAACAACAACAACAACAACAACAACAACAACGACAACAACAACAACAACAACAACAACAACAACAACAACAACAACAACAACAACAACAACAACAACAACAACAACAGCAGCAGCAGCAGCAGCAGCAGCAGCAGCAGCAGTTGCATCAGCAGCAACAACAGCAACAGCAACAGCAACAGCAACAGCATCAACATATTGATCATGTGTCCGAGCAAAATATTTGCAAGACAATTCGACTGGTTGACGTGGTGGTTCCCCGTGGTGTCACACACCTGACAGGCCGGGCATGTGCCAAGCGAGCCTTTGCCAAGTGCCGAGCGGGTAGAGAGGTGAAAACGAGCCACTCGGGCAGTTGGTGCTTTGCCACAACCTCGGACGGTTAAACTTGGAGGCGAAGCGTGGGCGTCACAAGTCCCACTCGGGACAGCGTTGACAAGTATAGTCGCTGCCGAGGGCGGTGCTGATTCCATCATGTTCCGCCTGCGCAGCGAGAACACTTGACTCCAGCCATTTGCATCAGCCCCTGCTCACAACCAGCCCACGGTTTCGCGTCTTTTCCAGGTCCGACGATTTTAAGCCTGCAATTGAACCTCATGGAATCACTGCAACCCATCGGCTTGTTGCTTTGCAGCTGGAGACCATCCGTCAAAAAGGAACTTGCCCAACAATAAAAGAGTTTGGGGGTGTGGCTGGCTGCATG